GCCGTGCTCAGCTGATCCAATAACTTCCCCTCATTAAAAGAAACATTGTTACCATCAGGAAAAGAATGTTTATAATCACGCGTGTGAATGTTTCTACACATTTTACACCACGAGCAGCGGGGAGGGGGAAGGGTCACGTTCCCTCTACATCCTGTCCCGGAGACACGACAGGAAGTGATAAAAATGCCTTCTCACCCAGAACAGGTGTCTGCTGGCAAATATTCACCCCCCACTTCCTGTTCTGGTGACAACTGAAACACGTTGAATTGTTTTCTGTAGTCACCCGGATAGGTGTCCTCGCTCCTCCCATCTGGACTCTACATATATATAGATTCCTGGTGACAGTCTCACTCATATCGCTGCACTGCTGTTTCTTTCAGGGACCGGCCGCCAAGGACACCGGCGACGCTGCGGGCGGCGCAGAGAAGCCGAACAAAACGCAGCAACTGAAGCGCGTCTTCAAGGAATACGGGGGCGTGGCCGTGACCTTCCACGTGGGGATCTCGCTGGTGTCACTCGGGATATTCTACACTCTGGTGTCCAGGTGAGAACAGGGCCGGCCCCTGATAGGACCCAGTCACATGATTACATAAAGAGGACCTGTCATAGAGAACAGGGCCGGCCCCTGATAGGACCCAGTCACATGATTACATAAAGAGGACCTGTCATAGAGAACAGGGCACACAGCGTTTACAGGTCCCTAGCAGGGCCAAACCTCCCAGACTCCTCCCCGAGGATCTGATTGGCTGCTCGGTGCAGATGCTATCATCTGACATTTCTCCTCTCTTCTCCCCCCGTCAGCGGTCTGGACGTCCCGGCGCTCCTCCTCAAAGTCGGCTTCAGTGAAGCTCTGGTCCAATCCAAGATGGCGGCGGGGACCAGCACCTTCGTCTTGGCGTACGCCATCCACAAACTGTTTGCTCCGGTGCGGATGAGCATGACGGTGGTGTCGGTGCCCTTCCTGGTCCGCTACTTCCGGAGGACCGGCTTCTTCAAGGCGCCCCCGCCGCCTCGGGCTTAGCCGGATCCCGGCACAGAGAGAATGTTGTGCTGCTTCCTGGGGGCGGGGCCTGGAACTCGTCACTGCGGCGGATGAAATGACTGGACGCTGGCGGCGAGGCTCCGCCTTCTACTTGAAATAAATGTGTGCCGGAGTGTGAGGAGACTCATAATAAAGAGAACCTGTCATCACGGATCATACCTGACCCAGCTGAGCCCTCTATCCAGAACCAGGGGCCCGCATTGGCACTCCTACTATAGTGTATTAAAGAGAACCTGTCATCACGGATCATACCTGACCCAGCTGAGCCCTCTATCCAGAACCAGGGGCCTGCATTGGCCCTCCTACTATAGTGTATTAAAGAGAACCTGTCATCACAGATCATACCTGACCCAGCAGAGCCCACTATCCAGAACCAGGGGCCTGCATTGGCACTCCTACTATAGTGTATTAAAGAGAACCTGTCATCACAGATCATACCTGACCCAGCAGAGCCCACTATCCAGAACCAGGGGCCTGCATTGGCCCTCCTACTATAGTGTATTAAAGAGAACCTGTCATCACGGATCATACCTGACCCAGCAGAGCCCACTATCCAAAATCAGGGGCCTACATTGGCCCTCCTACTTTGGATGGAGTGGTGAAGGGTTAGAACCCCTGTTGGGGTGCATTGTTCTCTGTGACCCCGTTGGGGAAATTCGCCCCTCTAATTTGTCCTGGGCAGAAACACAAAGATTTGTATTTCTGCCCATCCAGGCCTGAGATTTACACAGCTCTGGCACAGCCACGTCTGGCAGGGCAGGAGACCTGACTTTATTTGTTCTTGCTGCTGCAGTTTCACTTACACTTGCAGGTCCCCCTGCTTACCCTGTGACTGGATAGCAAAAGGAGAAGCAGCAAACTGATGAGCTCATCTCTCTGCTCTCCCCTCCTGTCAGCATGCTGTGTGAGTTGCATTAGAGTTGGCCTCACTTCCTGTCTGTTAAAATGAAGACATGAAGGGAAATCCCTCCAAAGGAGCCCGGGATCGCGGTAACAAGCAGGCGGGGTTCTAATCCTGCCCCATGCTGTGAATTGAGTTTGTATTTTTAGGATGATTTGTGGGATTTAGAAAAGAAGAAAATATATTTGTAATAGAATTATATTTCTGGACGTAATAAAAGTTTAATTTGTATATCGGAAGAGTTCTCCTGTCCTCAGACTGGACCGATAACAGCGGGGCCCTCCATGGCGGCATTGCTCCCCACAACCTCAGTCCGAGCTGGCTGCTAGACCAGTCCCAGCTGCCTCCCCACCCCCGGGCTCCAGCGGTCTAAGACTCCGGAGCCGTCACATCCTATACAGTGTATTGTATGTGAGGACATACCATTGCTGGGGGGCAGCAGGGACCAGAGCAGCAGGCGAGTATAGCTTTAAACCCGCCCCCAAGGGGGCGTCACCACTCCGCCCTGCATGTTGTGTGAGGGCAGTACTCATTATCAAGGACTGCCCACTGCTAGAGATTAGGACCTCCCTGGTCACATGACCTGCCCTGAAGACTTTACAGAGGAACTCCAGGACAATAAAATCCTTTTTTGGGGTAGCCCCACTGCAAGGGTTAAGATGTTATTGGCCCGGGGGTTCTCCTTTAAAGTCTTCAGGGCGGGTCACGTGACCAGGGAGGTCCTAATCTCTAGCAGTGGGCAGTCCTTGATAATGAGTACTGCTCTCTGTGTCATTACACAGCAAATGCAGGGGGCGGAGTGGTGACGCCCCCTTGTGGAGTGGTGAGGGGCGGTTAATGACACCCTGCACTCACAGTATGTCCTCACTCCTCCGAGGTGAAGAACACCGGACGGTTGCCTGCAGTTGGGCTTTAGGACCACAACCCAAACTTTGGAGCTCCACTCCCCATAGCAGTCGCCTGGGCTATAGTTACTTCCCAGGGTCCAGTTGATGATGGAAGGTGTCTGTGTGTTTCATGACGCCTAATAAAGTTCTGAGAGATTTGAATGAGATTGTCTGATTCTGTTGCAGTCCCAACACATCCCAAATGAGAAATTCGATCTAAAGTCTCTTCTATACATATCATGCTTTATATCCTAGGAATAAATACCTGTCCACGGGGCCCCAACTATAGATCACGGGGCCCCATAACAAAAATGTGACCGGGGGGCCCCCCTGATGACCGCTCTCTGAGCAGTGAGTAACGATGCCGAAGACTCCTCTTGTGCCTCCAAATCTCTACACTGTAGACTTTACAGGGGATTAGAGTTGTCGTCAACTGCAACCTAATGGGGGGCCCCTTCCACTCCTCGTGCAACCTAATGGGGGGCCCCTTCCACTCCCAGGCCCCATAGCAGCTGCCTGGGCTATAGTTACACCCAATGGCGTCACAAGGGGGGTGCGGCCTGCACTGGGTGACACCATTTGGAGGGATGATTGTGTCAACCCCTCTGAAGAGTTAGGCACTTGGTCATGGACCGAGAGCCCAACAGTTGGAGGAGGGGACCCGACGGCATACCTTATCCCTCCGGGTGACCGTCCCCTCCTCTCTCTGCCGGCGTCCATCGCCAAAATTTCCACCGGCAGGTAGCACCAAGATGGCCGCCGGTGACACCCGGCCTCGGGACGCCTCTGGTTACACCACTGCTTTAAAGGGTCCCGCACTGATCCTAAGCTGCAATCCTGCAGCCAGCCACTAGAGGGCCAATCTGTATCTATAGAGAGGGCCCAATATGTACAGCCAGCGTGCAAACCATTAATAATCCGCCTTCCTTCGCCTCTGACTGTGAATGTGGCAGCCACACAATTGCCGTTACCGGCCCGGCGTTGGAAATGACATCCATACTATTTACTGATTGCAGGGAGAAGGTAAGGAAGTCTGATTTGGTCAGAATGACACAACTGATGAGCGTTGTCATCCAGGAGCGGGGAGCGCTGCGGTAATCATGACACACACAATATACATGAAAGCCAATTTTTTGGCTGAAGCCACCACAGGGCGACATTACGCTGATTTTAATACGAGAATAACTCGGAGCCGGAGAGTTCATAGAGCAAAGTTCTCTGCGATTGGAGAGTTCCATAATACAGTGTACACAGCAGAAGACGGCGCATCACCTTCTCCCTGGGAGGACGCTGCCCTCTTGTGGATGGATCAGAGAAGACAGGAGGGACGGGGGAATGGTTAGAAAAAGGAATTTGTCAGATTTAAAGTGTCAGGGCAAAATTTAGAGCAAACCCAACGTACTCAGTACTCCCCTGCAATACAGCTAGGGTTACCCCTTGTCTTCAAGCAAAACACAAACACTCTAGCGCCGCACAGCAATTTTTTTTTTTTAGAATATACAGGAGAACGAGGAGAGAAATCCAAGGGAGAGAGAGCCAGGAAGATGAGAGAGGAAGGAAAGCCAAGGGACAGAGCAAGAAGAGACAGACAGGTGAGAAAGTGGGGAGAGACAGCCAGGAGACCGAAGAGAGCCAGGAGAGAAAGAGAGGAGAAACAGCCAGGAGACAGAAAAGAGACAGCCAGGGGAGAATGTGATGACAGAAAGCCATGAGAGAGAAAGAGGAGAGGCAGCCAAGAGACAGAGGAGAGAAAGCCGGGAGAGAGAGGAGAGACAGACAGGAGAGAGAGAGAGAAGAGACGACCAGAAGACAGAGAGAAGAGAGATAACCGAGAGAGAGGAGAGAAAGCCAGCAGAGAGGGGAGAGAGTGGAGGAGAGACAGACAGGAGAGAGAGGGAGGAGAGACAGCCAGAAGAGAGTGGAGAGAAAACCAAGAGAGAGCAGAGACAGCCGGGAGAGAGAGAAGAGAAAGCCGAGAGAGACGGGAGACAGCCAGGAGAAAGCGAGGACAGACAGCCTAGAGAGAGAAAGACAACTAGGAGAGACAGCCAAGAGGCAGAGTGAAAAGCAATAACAGAGAGCAGAAACAGCTGAGAGAGGAGAGACACAGCCAGAAAAGAGAGAGATAAGAGACAGCCAAGAGAGAGAGAGACAGGGGAGAGAGAGCCAAGAGAGAGAGAGAGGGGAGGGACCGCCAGGAGAGAGAGGGGAGAGACCGCCAGGAGAGAGAGAGGGGAGAGAGACAGCCGAGAGAGAGAGAGGGGAGTGACCACTGGGAGAGAGAGGGGAGAGAGACAGCCGCAAGAGAGGGGAGAGACCGCCGGGAGAGAGAGAGAGGGGAGAGAGACTGCCAAGAGAGAGAGAGAGGGGAGAGACAGCCAGGAAAGAGAGAGATAAGAGACAGCCAGGAGAGGGGAGAGAGACAGCCAGGAAGATGAGGGCGGAGAGACAGCCAGGAGAGAGAGCAACCAACTACCAATCCCCCAACTACACAAGCCCTTTCGATGTGATTGGTGATTATTATTAGCAGACACTCCAAGGATAGGAGTTCCGGACGCTGGGAAGGATTCGGCATGCCTGGAAATGATATGGTAATCCTCATTTGGACACCAACACACTCGGAATCAGTCTCCTTATCTGGCTGCCCAACCACATGTCCATTTTGGCAGTGACAAGTTCCAGTATTCTAGAACTCAGTGAGTGGGATTTATCAAAACTGGAGCAGACAAAATCTGGAGCAGCTGTGCACGGCAACGAATCGGCTTCTCTCTTGGTTGCCATGGACAACTGCTCCCGATTTTGTCATCAGTAGGGCTGTGGGTCGGATTCATCACCTCTTTGGGTTTGCTGCTAATTCTGCAGGTTCCAGATTTGCGGTCTCGGCAATTTTATGTGACAATTTTTCTGGGGTGGTTTTTTTTTTGTTAATCACCATAATGCACTGCGTGGCCTTTGGACTACGGCCAACAAGGAGGCCAGCCAGACCCCTCACTATAAAAAGGGAGCACAGAGAGTAGGAAAACTGTACTTCAATTCTAATTGCTAGCTCTTTGGACAATCGTCTCCTTTGTTTTATATTTTTGAGTCGCAGACCTGAAACAAGCAAAAAAGAGAGGAGAGAAAAAAAACCGAGTGTGCTGCATTGGAATTCCTTATCACTCGTTTCACGCCAGGGTCACCCCAACCCACAGGCAGGTTTACTCCCTCACC